TAATTACCTTAAACATTTTTTTTTTTACAAAGTTATGATTTTTGACAATATCAATGGTTTTCTCTATCCTTGAACACGTTAAATCAATTATCTCTTGTTCTATTAATCGTATCGTCACAATTTTTTTTATTATTTAGTTCAAGAATTCAGCTTTCAAAAAGTAGTTTCATTTTTTAATTTAATTTTTTATTTATAAGAATTAGTAACAAATTAATCATTATATCGACATTTCAATGCCGATCCCCACAACTTATTTAATTGAAAAAATCAATTTATTATCCCTATGTTTCGCTTAATAAACAGTAAAAGGAATTAGAGTGGGGTCTTCATTAGATCAAGAGAAACTAAATAATTTTCGACTCTTCGCGCAGCGCGCGCTCCACATGCTGCCGCAGCGCGATCAATGTTATTTTATATCTTATTACCTAATAGAGACCCCACTCTAAATCCAAGTATATATATATATAATTTAATTGTAATCTTCCTAATTATATATGTTGTGGGGATCAGCTTTGAAACCATTCAATTGCTTATAATTTTTTTTTCTGAACAAATAAAAAAATTGGAAGTAAAAAACTTGAAAGTCAACATTAATACCTATTGAATAAAAAAAAGTTTTTATTATGTGACTACTGGAAGCGGAGATAATATATTTCATATAGAGAAAAAATAAAAGCAAACTATTTTTTTGGAGTAAAATCCTTTTACACGTGTCGAAGATTTCATTTCCATAAAAGCTAAAAAAAAATTTTCATTCAATTCTGAGATATGAAAAAAATTTTTTCTCGAATCCGTACGATTTGTAAAAGAATGTCCCATGTTCGGAAGGCCAAATTACCGTGTCACGTGTCCGTCTAAGTTTCGCATTTCCGCGAAAGTATCGTATGTCGCTTTCTTTCGAAATTGAGATTTTAATGCAAAATTGTTAGGCACCTAATGTCTGACTACCCTGTGCAATATTATAACTGAAAGCCCTATAGTTCCGATAAAAATTAAGTTTCAATTTTATCGTATGTTACAACGTCGTGCGAAATTATCGTAGGTCCATACAAATTTCTTTTCATTTGCATGGAAATACTGCAATCGTACATTTTTACATTTTTACTTTGATTTCACTTATTAAGCTTTTAGTGTTTGTTTCACTTAATTTTTTGTTGGACAACCGAATTGGAATTATAATCCAATAAAGATTCTTAAATGTGCCGCGTAATTTCGAGAACTGAAATACATATAAAATTTGATTTATTTTCCACCCGAGGTTCTTTTTTTCGGATACTTTTTGTATCCCACCGACTGCGCCAGAAAAATTGTTTATGAGTCGAACTAATTTTGACTTAGGACAACTATTATTTATTATATTATTAGGGGGGGGGAAAGGTTACCTCGACCCAACTGGATCTATTGTACCCCTTATCTGAGCTTAGAGCTCACCCATCAACCCGGCTCCTTCGATAAGGTTAAGGAGCTTTATCGGGTCGATGCTTCCAGAGGTCCCAAATGTAAGGAACCTGGACCCGAGGGTTCTGCTCCTCAGCCTACTTAGTGCTGGGCAATCTGCTATTATGTGTAGGGAGGTTTCATCCTCGCTATCACAGAATCTGCATGTTTTTCTGTTTGTAATCCCTATATTAAATAGGTGTCTCCTTAGTTTGCAGTGTCCGGTTAGTAAGCCGGTAACTATCCTAAGTGATCTCTTCCCTAGTAGTATAAGTTTCTTAAACCTCTTCATGTCATAATTGACGATGAGGGTTTTGGCTTGTCTTTGGCCTGTGGTGTCTACCCAGCAGGCTTGCCTCATCTGTACCTCTTCTGTTTTTAGGTAATCTTTGACTGTGTGTCTGCCTATGCCACAGTAAGGCTCGGGTCCTATAAGGGGTCGTTTCGCCCCTAGTTTTGCTAGCCTGTCGGCTAGTTCATTCCCGGATATGTCTTTGTGTCCTGGAATCCATCTTAATGACAGCCTGTTGTTGCTGCCCAGAAGGTTCAGCTTTGTTATTACTTCTCGTACCAGCTTCGAGGTGATTCTACTGCTGCATAGTGCAGTAATTGCCGCTCGACTGTCCGAGATGATCGCAATGTCCTTGTTTGTGTACCCACGCTTCATATTGAGCTCTGCACACCGTCCTATGGCGCAAACTTCAGCTTGGAATATGCTGGTGTATTGGCCTAACGATTCATGGTATTTGATTCGTGGTCCTACTACTCCAAGGCCAGTGCCTTGGTGTGTTAAAGACCCGTCCGTATACCATGCTATAGTGTGACTCGCCATGGAGTGTACTTCCTTCATGGTGGTCCATTCTTTCTTGTTGCTCAGATGAGCAGAGAAATTCTTTTCAAAGATGAATTCTACTGTCATTTCGTCCCTGGGGTGTGAGCTCAGGGGAAGTTCGACTAGTAGTTTTGCTGCATCCCTAGAACTGAGGATGCGGTCACTGCCATTCCCACAAGAAGTGATTCTTAGTAGGGTGGCCTTTCGCTGTAACTCTACTACGCAGTGTAGCGGAGTGAGTTCCATGAGAACTTCCAGTGCCGCAGTGGGGCAGGTTCTCATTGCTCCTGTCATACATATGCATGCCAGTCTTTGCAGCCTTTAGAGCTGTTTCTGTGCGGTAACGAGCCTAGCTCGTTTACCCCAGGCTACTGACCCATATGTGAGTATTGGCCTCACAATTATAAGGTATAACCATCTGATAATTTGGGGTGAGGTCCCCCAAGATTTCCCTGCAATTTTCCGATAGGTGAAGAGAGTCCTGAGGCACTTATCCACTGTCTTTTGCATATGGGTTGCAAACGTTAGCCTTCTGTCGAAGGTAACTCCGAGGTACTTAACTTCCCGGCTTATTGCTACGGGAGTACCTAGTAGCATGATTTGTCTCATCTTCTTTAGTTTGTACTTCTTTGTAAAAGGAACAATGACTGTTTTTGCGGGGTTGAGGTTAAGCCCAACTTCCCTGCACCAGTCGAGCGTTATCTTGAGTCCGAGTTGAACAATATCGCAAAGCGTTTCTTCAAATTTCCCTTTGGCTACTATTACTATGTCATCGGCATAGCCCTGACATTGTATTCCTCTGTCGGAGAGTTTCTTTAGTAGTTCATCTACTAGTAGGCTCCACAGTAAAGGAGACAAGACTCCACCTTGCGAACATCCTCTGCTTCTGGCAACGGTCATTGTGCTGTTGCCAATGGTCGCCAATGCCTGCCTGGAGCTTAACAACGCTCCAATCCATCTTCTTGTTGTCGCGTCTATATTCCTTCTGGCGAGGGCCGCTAAGACAGCATCATGCGACGTATTGTCAAAGGCTCCCTCTATATCCAGAAAGGCGCAGATTGCAACTTCTTTGTTGTCCACTGCCCCTTCAAGAGTGTGACAAAGTTGGTGCAGTGCAGTGTCTGTTGAACGACCTGCCCTGTATGCGTGCTGCGTGGGTTGCAGCGGACAGTCCTTAAGAACTGTGCTCCTAATATGGTAGTCTACCATCTTTTCTAACGTTTTAAGGCAAAACGAGGTTTAGCTGATAGGTCTTAAGGACTTTGGGTTGGTGATGTGTTTCTTCCCTGCTTTGGCGATGAAGACCACCCTAGCTCTACGCCACGCATTTGGGATGTGTCCAATTGCTAGGCTGCTTAGCATCAGTCTCCTTAAGCGGGTTAGGAGTAAATCCAGTCCCTGCTGCAGGAATGATGGAGAGATACCATCCAGACCAGGTGACTCAAATGGCTGGAAGGTCCCAATTGCCCATTTAAGTCTCTCCGGAGAGACTAGAGACTTGGCAATTGCCCAGTCCTCTGCGCTTGGTCCGAAGTGTCTTGGAGTGGACGATGCCTCCATTGGGTTGGACGTATCTTCCGCCAGGGGTGAGCTCCCGAGGAAGTGTGTTTTAAAGAGTAAAGCTAGTTTATCCCTGTCGTCTGAAGTGTAAGAGTTGTCACATTTCCTCAGGGCTAGGTTACTTTCTGGTGCAACTTTGGCCATAGCCTTGTGCAATCTTGCCCCTTCATGGGCAGTGCTGATTGCCTCACAGAAGTCTCTGTAGTTCTTCCGTTTGGCCTTCCTGATCTCTTTGTTGTAGAGCGTCAGGATTCTGAGCCGTTTTAGGTTGTCATTCCACCATGGGGCGTCTCTATCTGCCTTCCGTCTGCCAAGAGGGCAACTGTCCTCAAAAGCATTGGTTATCTTCTTGCAGAGGTTATCCACTGCCTGATCCAATTCTAAAGAATGGCTGGGTATACCTGACGGTTCGTCAGAGAGATTGAGCTGAAGAGAGGACTTGAACCAATCCCAGTTTGTTTTCTTGGGATTCCTTTTGGGGGCGTCCCTAGCGGTGTTGAAGTCTACTTCAAATCTAATGATTCGGTGATCCGACATTGATTCCTCTGGCGACACGTGCCAGTTCTTGATAAGTGGTTCTAGAGACCTGCTCATCAGAGTTATGTCTAGGACCTCTTCTCTTACTCTAGTAATGAATGTCGGTGTGGACCCGACATTACCGATTTCTAGGTTACTATTTACAATAAACTCTATTAGCTGCTCACCTCTGTTGTTGACGTCGGTGCTTCCCCATATCACGTGATGTGCATTGGCGTCACATCCTATGATTAGGGGTAACTTCTTCCTCCTGCAGCATTCCACGAGTCCGATGATTTCCGGTGGTGGGCATGCTGCATCCCCAGCGAATACGCCGATGCTATGGCGATCGCTGGTAACTTTCCTGTGCCGCTCAGCGTTACTGCGACACAGTCACTGCTTAGGAACTCTGAAAAGATATTATAATTGATATCTTTCCTTATTAATATGCATGCTCTTGGGTGTGCACCCCGTTGGTCGCATATTACCTTTGATTCCTTGGTGTACAGGCCTTTAATGCCCTGATTGCACCAAGGCTCCTGAATGAGAGCTAGCCCGAGATGTTGGGAGGTGAACAACCTGGCCAGGACGGCGGATGCCGCCTTGGCCCGGTGCAAGTAAACCTGGGCTAGCTGCGTGCTGCGGTGTGCAGCCATTACTGGAGCGGGTGCTCCATGTTTTGTGAAGGGGGCGGGAATTCCCCTTCACTGCCTTCCGTCAGGGCGACGTCGGCCTCCTTCTCGTCGATATCTTCTAGGAGGGGCTCTTGTGCCACCTCCTGGGAGGGCGAGGGATGTTCATCCTCGCTCTCCACGTCCATATCGGCGATAGGCTCCTCCTTTGCACCCAATGGCTCTTGTGGCTTTTCGAGGGATTCCTCGACCTCCACTTTGCCGACTTTGGAGCCGGGGGGCGCTGCTTCTGTTGCCGCCATCTTCGCCGCCTTCCTAGGACCACTCACCGAGACGGTCCCGAATCTTAAGTTCAGCTGGTGCCCTTTAGAGACGATCTCATCTCGGGTGAGTTGGTCTATCCCTATAACGAGGAGTGCGAGGCGGGGGTCGTTCCTTCGGGAGACCACCTTCCAGGAATCGACCTCCATTCTGTTCTGGCGTCCCAGCATCATCAGAAGCTCCTCATTGCTTCTTTCTGCACTTCTAGGGCAGAAGACTGTGACATTATATGCCGCAGGATTGTTTTCTCCTACTCTAGTGTCAAGGGGCACGCCCTTCCACGTCCTTAGCTGAGGCGTTACAGCCCTCAGCCAGTCCGCCGAGTCCTGGTCCAAGCAGTCTATCAGGAGGTATCCGACCCTAAAGTGGATACCTCTGAAGGCGACTGCTGAGTCCCATTCAGACGTGACTACGTCGTCCATTATGGCCTCCTCCAGCTCGGCAAGCTCTTCGTTGCTCAGGTACACCTGCGGGTAGTCCTCAGGTAGTACCGCAACTCTGACTCTCTTGGCGGCCTCCGCGAAGGAGGTGTGTGTGCCAGTGAGAGGTGCCGCACAAGTGGAGGGTGGCTGCTTCTCACCCTTGTCACCCGCCTTCGGCACGCTGGGTGTGCCAGCAGATGCCTCAGGGGGGGGGGGTCTCCTCGTCGCCGCCGCCTTCGATGTGCTAGGCTCATCAGGCCTTGGGGGACGGGGGGGAGGTGCCGCTGCCTCTTTGATGCCCTCTGACTTGGACATTTTCGGGGTGTCCATCGGAGGGGTGAGGGTACTATTTGCCCGCTTGCTGGCAGGGGCAACGTTTTGTGCCACTGGTCGTGGCTCCTTCGCCTTCTTCAAAGCTTCATCGGGTGTCATGCCCTGCTGAAGATACCTAAGGTACCATTTGACCTTGGACCCCGACAGGCCTTTCCTGTTGGGGTCGCCAAGGCCTCCTGGTTGTCCTCTGGTTGGAAGGACCTCTGCCTTATTGGCGGGCTTGGTCTTCTGTACAGCCGCGGGGGGTGGGCAAGCCGGCCGGGATGGTCCTGCCGGTAGCCCACGTTCCCGAACTGGAACAGTCGCTGTGGGGGGTTGTCCCACATTCCGCGTCCGTGACGCACTCCTGATGGAAGCTGCGCTCCTGGGTGGGGCTGGTCCCACCTGGGGTCGCACTCCGTCAAGGAGTCTTTCTTCAAAAAGCCTTGCGGCACTTGAGGCAGGGATATCCTGCGGCAATTTGGTTTTCATATTCTTTTTCATAATAGAATCCCACGAGTTGCGGAGAAAGTATGATCCGCCATACCCGGGTAAGGCGCAGTTAGGACAGGCGGTCGCCACTTGCCTTAACCCTCCGTGAGAGACTGGGCTATTTGTTAATCCGGGCCCCCAGCCAGGCTGACTATCGGCACGGGTCGGATGACACCTTAGTCCGGCCCGGAGTGAGATTGTGTGGGGAGGGGAGTTGATAGGTAGTCGTGAGGGAAGAGGAATGTGTGAGGCTATACTTTTGAAGACGGCCAGACAAACGTCTCATCAGTACACCGACTCCGGTGTACCCGCTGCTTGTCCGGGGTTGCTTATTAGCTTGCGCCTATTCGCAACTAACCTTATAGAAGGCCGTTCGCTATCCGCAACCTGCAACCCGCCTGGTGGCCCCAGCTGAGCCCCCTCTTGAACATCCCACTAGTTCTCGAGGACCAAGTAGGACAACTAAGGAGAATAAATAAACGAGAATTAAGGTTTACGTCTTTATTCGAATGATCTCAGCTTACGGCAGGTTCTCACCTTGTAGGGCCAAAAAATGGACATTTTAAAAAAAAATTATATTGACAAAACGGTTAAAGATTAAAATCTGAAATTTCTAACTTTATTTGAAAACATATTTATTTTGCGAAAAAAAATTTCAAAATTGAAAAATCAAAAAAGGGGCGGGAGGGGCCGTTCCTCAGTTGCAACATTTCGGCAAAAAGGTGTCCCGCTTACAGAAGTGATTCAGCCAAAACGGGTAATCGGAAATACAAAACCCAAAAAGATTCTTAAAGTGTACAGTACTGTGCATAAAATGAACTAGGATCAGAAAAAAAAAATGAAAATTGCAAAAGTTATTAGCTTTTGAAAAAAAATTCGATTTTCTCACTAATTATTTTCTGAATTAAACAGTTTTCAATAATTTTGGATAATCCTAGTGTTCGGTCATGCCGCAGCCTAAATCCAATGATTATATTTCAAATTGTAACGTAAAACCAAATTCTCGATATTCTCCTTTTGTTTTGCTATTTGCCCTGCGCGGCAACACTGTTTAATTGTCATTTTTAACTCCCTTTTTTTGCACTTTTTCGCTTATCGCTTCCTGGCCTTAGTCCACGGCAAGCTTCAAGTAGTTCGAATTTGTACACGCTCATAGAAGGCACGGTCGCTGATCGCCTGCCTATATACTCTTCGGCTATATACTCTTCGCGTCGTTTAAGGCACAGACAAATCGGTCTGCCTGCCCAACATACCTACCTTTAACTAGTTCGATTTTGGTACTCGCTTACACAAGGCACGATCGCTGATCGCCTGCCAAATCTCGGCTTTATATACTTTCGTCTAAAGCACAGACAAATCGGTCTGCCTGCTAATATACCTTTTCGCTGCAAAAGGCACAGACAAATCGATCTGCCTGCCCAACATACCTTATCGCTGTAAAAAGGCACAGACAATTCGGTCTGCCTGCCTAACCAACTCTACAACAAACAATAACTTTATAGATTTAAGGCCTTGGTGCCAAATAATAAATAAGTGCATTTTATTAACTGAATTTTGGTGCAGATTATTTTATTTGGGCACCGTCAAGGTAATGGTTAGTAAAAAATCTTACTGACCCAACACCTAGTTCATTAGTTAAAGGAAACAATTAGGAACATTAAAAAAAAAAATGATGACGATTGGTTAACCCCAACGCCTTCAATTACTTCCGTAAGGTCCGAAAACGTGGTTCCGAGATAAACGCGTATAAAGTTTTGGCTTCCAATGGCCGGTGCTCGACATGTCCTCCATGTAAGGGCCTGTAACTTTTGTAATATGTCAAATTTGGATCTTAATTTTTTGAGAACATTTTCGGAACATATATCTATACGATAACCAAATTTTTTTGCCACAAGGTGAGAACCTGCCTTAAGAATAATTTCTTGTTAAAAATCTTACTTGTACTGCCCTTTGTTTACCAAAGTTTGGGAGCGAGATCGCCCGCTTGGGATATTGATTGTATACAATAAGTTGAGAGTAAGAGGGTTTGGCACTTAATGATTGCAAGAATTATTTACCTATGTTATTGAAGAGCGTTTGCTCCGGATGTGGATTGTTTACACTGATTCAGTGTGGGATCGCCTACGCTGCATACTCTTACTTCTTGGTACCTAACTAAACAAAAGAATATGTCATTATATAAGCTTCTTTTTTTTTTTTTAATTTACTCAGTTTTTAATTTATAATATAATATATTGATTTATATATATATAGTGACATATCCATAGCACCACATAAACTATGTACATGTCTACACACCCATACACTCACACACACACATCTAATACTTGCTAGAACTTACCCTTGACACTTAGATTCAAATATGCAAATGTACCGAATATGATCCTTAACCAAATTAAACCTAAACATAACTGAGGATGGAAAAGTACTTGTAAACCAATCCTCAGACTAAACATTTTAGATAGAAACGCGCATTCAGCACGTTCCCATAATTCAGATTCCCAAACCAAACTCAAATTTCGGGACCAAGGCCATAAACAAATTCAAACCCAAGAATCCAAAGTCCAATCGGGAAAGTTCTTAGCCTAAACAATAAAACACACTCAGTTAGAATAAACACACTCAAGTAAAGCTCGAAAGCTCCACAACCGAGGTATGATCGTAAAGGAAGTCAGAGTTAGGAGTTGAGTTCAGTTTGAGACTTGCAAGTGACAGGTCGGTGTTCTTCCACTAAAGAATATTTGTAACCAGTTGAATATAAGAAATAAAGATAATTTTTTTTTTATTGAAAACTTATGGTTCAAACATTTAATTGGCGCAGTCGGTAGGATTTCTTTAAAAAGTCCTTTAAAAAGTCATCGGTACTGATCAACAAGAAGGATAATACTATACGACTAGTTTATCCTGATCTGCGTAAAAATCCGTGAATAAAGAAAGTGATTAAAAAGAAATTCGCAAAAGAATTTATGTGCAGCGCGACTGTATATAAAAACAATTAACTAAAAATCCAATTCGGTCAATAACTCCGCGAATTTTCGTGTGACAATATTGCAACAATATCTTCAAAAAGAATAAAAACTTCAAAAGACGATAACATGGCAACATCACTGTTAGCCCAACTATCCGAGATCCATCTCAATCAGTTGATTGGACAGATCAAAGAATTACCTTATTTCGACGGTAACCCAATAGAGCTCAGCCGGTTCATCACACGGGTCGAGTATCTGTTGCAGTTGTACCCAACACAGGATGTGAGGCAAAACCATATCATCTACGGGGCCATCGAGAGGACTATTCTGGACTCAGCACAAGCCGTCTTCGCAGAAAAGAAAGCTACAACATGGATGCAGACGAAAATGGCCCTGATCAAAGCGTTCAAGGACCACAGGCCATATGAAGATGTCATCCGCATGGTACACCAGACACCTTACCAGGGAAGCATCAGTAAGTTCGTAAATGAACTTAAGATCAGATCCTCCGTAGTTTTAAATAAGTTAGAATTAGAAATGGACCAAACAGATAAGGCAATTTACACAAGTTCATTGAACAGAACAATCAGGGATTGTATCGAGAAAAAATTACCGGACAGATTATATAATTCCTTATCGAAAAAGATATCACAACCATTACTAACTTAAAAGAAGCAGCAATGACTCTAGGCCATTGGGACTCAGACCCATATGATAATTATAAACCCAGGCATTATGACCATCGTAGGAATTCGGGAAATTCAAAACAGAATCATTACTATCAGAAAAATAATTCAAATCATTATTCTCGATATAATTATTCAAATTATAATTCAGGATCACATAATTCAGCAAATACTCCGAATTCACCTAATAAAAATCAAAATACTAATCAATACCAGGGTAATTATCACGAATATAAAAGGAATTTAAACCAAGGTAGAGCTCAAAACCCTATGAATCATCAAACCCAATCCACTAATTCACCCAACGCACCTGTCAAAAGACAGAGGGAAAGCGAAAGCTCACAGAATAGAATGGACGTAAATTTTCAGCAAATAGCCTCGGAAACGGAAAACAGTATCCGTATATCAGAGTAATAATTAAAGATAAAACTTTGAAAGCAATGATAGATACAGGATCTTCCATTAACATCATGAAGGAAAATCTAGGAAATTTTAAAGAAACCAGTGAAAATCAGAAAGTCTATACAATGATTATGAATATGGTGAAGAGAATAAAGAGGGCAAGACCGCACCAAAGTGCCTTAGCCCAAAATCATCCGAAAAGTAAGAGAAAAAGGATAAGACCGCACAAGAGTGCCTTAATCCACCTCTATCAGAAGATGATTCATTTAATTTTGCCGTAAACAATGAACTCAGGGAATGCAACGAATTCCGTCTTGAACATTTAAATGAGGAAGAGAAAGAAAATTTAAAAAAGGGTTTGTTTGAATTTAAGGACATTCAGTACAAGGAAGGTGAAAATTTGACTTTTACTAGTACAATAAAGCATTCAATACAGACAAAACACGAGGACCCA